AGCTGAGCTACTTCATCACAGGTGAGAATCGCTTGCAGATATCAAGGATAACATTCAACGCACTTATAAAAAGTAATAATAATACTTGCATTCGATATAGTGCCTTATCACATTGTCATATTGTCTCAAAGCATCCCCCTAAGACTGCAATGAGTGTCGGCCAAGACTGAGTTCACAATCGCAACATGGGGTTTAAACTCAGAACCTTCTGACTCAGAGGCAAGAGTGCTATCAATTGAGCCAGGCTGATGTTTCTCTAGACAAAGCCAATACCACTTCCTGTTAGGTGTATGACTGAGAAACATTATTGAACGTGTTGATAAATTCTTAAAAATAATAATTTGTAAACATAATCCTTACAAACTACTATATTTATAGAATCCTAGAATCCTAAAAAATGGCAAAAGAAATTGGGAGATGCTTTCACAGACTGAAAAGCAGCTTGTCTCAGTGTTGTTAACCTAATTATCCAACCTCTAAATGTTTTTACATACTGGTGGTATCCTTTCATATTTTCACACAAATTCACTTGCTGTCAAATGTGGGGAAAGTTGATCCGGCTTGAACATTGTACAAAGGACCATCTCAGTAACTAGACCTAAGGAATAAATGGTTCTTTTGATGTCTCTCAGCTGATGGTTTCTTTACAATTTACATTTAACATTTCTGTGGGAGTTGAGTGTGAAACGCTTGGGATTTCTGATTCCTACCCTTCTCCCGGAATGCATCTGTTCAACAACTTCTCCTTTCGAGTGGGGAACAACACACTTTCTGATGTTCCAAGCCCTGCTGGCGGCAGCACTAACAACTCGTACTACTCACTACAGAATCCGATTTGTGTTATTAAAAGAACAGATTAGATTTGGCACCCAATCGATAGATGTTGGTCCAGCATGTGTCAGCATCTAGGTGACAGCTTGAAAGTTGAATTGTGCACAATTACAACAGCCTTTGTGTAGCAGACAAAACAGCACCTATTGTATGCCGTTATACATCCATTAAATTAAAAAGGACAAACAAATCAGAAATGATTGCTGAACGTGCTGATGCTGGAGTTAGGGCTTTTTCAAAGTGATGTGAACAAAAATGGAGTTTCTCAAATTTTGAAAATTAATTTATAAGGACAGAAAGATGCAGTAATTACCATGTGCGTATCAAAAGGCTGTCATTTAAACTGTGGCAATCAGCACAATGCCTCCTTTATTGAGCTGTGAAAATAAGTGGATAGTTGTATCTTGGACATTGATATACAGGCTCTTTTTAACAAAAGAATTGACAGGTGTAAGTGTGTTTTGTGAAGAATAGCCCCAGGGTGATTTTGGTGGTTTTCGGGGCTCCTTACTGGTTCAAGCTTACAGGTACATTACTGTGGTGTCAGTGCAATTTGTCCCAAATATACTGCTTACACAAGGTGACCTGACTCTTCTCCATTATTCCAATTTTCCATTATCTCTATGGAGGATGCATGACATTCCCACAGTAGTACTAAGGTTGAGATCGGAAGCTCAGGATTTAAAAAAAGGTTTAAAAAAAATCTAATTTAAAAAAAAAGGTTGAATATGAATGCAGCTTATGATGAACATGTCATTTGTGTAGGACAACATAGTCCAATTGTGTTTCAAGGCCCAAATATGGTACAAGATGTTGAGGTGGATTCAGAAGTCCTGAGAACATGGATTGAATGTTATTTTGCTATTGCAATTGAGATCCATTGCAGCCGTGGAGCACACTTGTCATTTTCCCTAAACGTTTTGTTTCTAACCTAACTTTTCTATTTAATTTGCCATTCTGAGGCCTCCACACAGGGTAGCATCTCAGAGCACTTGAGGTGGCGGCTTTGTTGTGTTAGTTATTTGCAGTTCAGTAAAAANGTATAATTTTTTTCTATTTTACTGTACAACATGGTTTAATTTGCTCATTCATAAATAAAACCCAACAAAAATAAATACCGACTGATATCAAGCGGGGTGGGTTGTGGGAGCTGCAAATCCATTTACATGAGGTCTGTCTGTTATTACATTGTGAAGGGCCTCAGGGCGCATTCTTCCATTTAGGTAAGATTTAATGGATGTTTGAAAAGCAGGCCTCTATGCACACAGAGGCTGACCCGAGGAATCTGACCTTCAATTGAAATGTAAAGGCATGCTTTTGAGAGACCCCTTTTGGAATTCTGCATGCTATATGAGTTAATGTAAGGACAATTTTGTTTCAATTTTATAATGAATTGAATTCTGAAAATGTGGTCACCTGTTGGCAGAATAAGGTGCTTAAGGTCCCCACTTACCCCTACTTTTACATGTTGGTCAGCAACAATAAGGAGCTCCCCACTGTCCTGTTAATGTCAGTGACATTTGAAAACTACAGAGAACCAGAAAAGCAAAGAAGCTCAGGCAGTACACAAGCTTGATCAAACAATAATATGAAGGATTATAATAAGAGTTGAGGATAACTGTCTGAGTGAAAGAATCAGCCTGCGGTCTTGTCCTTTGATCAATTCTATTATATATTAATAAATCAAGTATATTCTGTGAAGTGCTTTGAGATGTCTCGAAGACGTGAAAAGCGCTATATCAAATGCAAGGATTATTGTTATTATAATCAATTGACTGTACTCATTTCTCTGGTCTGTTGCGGCTAATTGATGTCACTGTGCTGTCTGCAAACACTAATTTCTCAAATTCCAAAACGTTTCTACATCTATTAAATCAACATTGTAGTTGTCGTATCATAATAAAACAATAATCCTTGCATTTGATATAGCACTTTTCATGTCAGAAAGTTGCCTGAAAGCGCTTCACAGGATTTTATTGAGAAGTACAATAATACTATATAATCTTTGCATTTGAAATAGCGCCTTATCATGTCTTCAAGACATCTCAAAGCACTTCACAGGGTATACTGTAAAGTGAATTGACTGCATATTTTGTGGGCAGATGTGAGAGCCAACTTGCTCACAGTAGTGTCCCACAAACAACCATGAAGCGAATGAACAGCAACAACTTGCACTTATATAGCGCCTTCCAGAGTGCTTAACAGTTGCAGCGCCCGACTCCGAGCCGGAGGGGGCGTGGGGGGAGGTGGCCGTAAGCACAGTCGAAGTCCTGAAGTGGGACTTGAAGCCATAGCCTCTGAGAGTGCTACCAATTAGGCAAGGCCAATTTCAACTGCATGTTAGATATTGTTGAAAACTACGTGTTTGACTTTGTATCGATACACAATAAGTAATTGAATACCTAATTATAAAGCTGTCAGATTTAGCCAACAACTCAACTCAATCCTTGGCAACAGCCACTGGGAAATGTGGATGCCTTGTAACCTCTCTACGGTGCTATATTGTTAGATTCAACACTCCCCTACGGCTATATGCCTTTTCACTAATTATCCGGTGGTAATTTGTTTGCTAATAATATTTTTCAACATGTTCTTCTCACTTGTGTCGGCCCTGTTTTCTTTTTTCAAATCTGTCTTTCAAGTTCAGTTCATAATGAGGTCAGAAACAGCAGGGTGCAGACTCCTCTCCTGGGTTTAGCTGTAATTGCTTTGGAATGTTCAGTTTAATTTAGTAGCAGAATCCTCACAACATTACAATAATCACGTGGCCATTTGTGCTTCTAGTTTCAGTTGCAAAAGTACAATTCTATGCTCAACTCGCATGTTTCGGCAAGTCAAAATAATGCACTGCTGGAATGCAAATGAGCAGTAGGTTTACACCAGACAAAATGATTTTCAAAATGTACTCTTCACTGCTCTCGGCTGATACCGTGCCATTCACCAGTGTTGCCAGGTTACGTATTTTCAGTGATGTCTTGCTGTTCAAAATCAAAAATACATTTTATTGCCCAGAGCTGAATGGAAAATATTATTATTATCCATGGCATTTCGTTTAGCACCTTTCATGTCAGGAGGATGCCTTAAAGCATTTCATAGTGTAGTGACTGTATGGTTGGCGAATGACTAACTTTAAAAAAAACTATTGAAGTACATAATAAAACTGTTCCGAATGACTGCTTAGTTAAAGGGTATTGCATTCATCCACTAATAGTCAAATGGTTTAATGGCGGTCGCTAATCCACTTGTAGTAAAACAGTGATGTGCTAAATGGCCACACATCCATGACAAACCGTGATAACCTTTCACACATGGGTCACACATATTACATTTTCCAGCTCATTGAAAATATAGCCAGGGCATCTTTCCATTCTAACCAGTGTTGCAATGAAAATAATCACAATGTTTATTTTTTATTAGTTTATGCTCACACAAACATGTGCAGGTGTTCGCCTACAAATACTCAGTCATTACACTGAAATAACAGTCTGTGGACCAAAAATGTCCACGGGTCCACAACAGCAAAATTACAATTAGATTCCCACCAGCCCAAGTCTCCTAGCATGCACCCCCGCCTCACTGTCTTTGCTGGCCTTCACAGTGACCAGGGATATCGACTCAGTTTGAATCCCATGAGCAGAAGATTGTTTATTCACTATCTTCTGCTCACAAGATTCAAACAATTACATTACCATTAACAGCATTTTTTGGCGCTGAATGCAGTAGCGACAGTGTACCTTATCAGAAATTCAGATTTACCAGACCAGATCTCCCCCTCCCACCACCACCACCACTCATCAAAAGATCGAACTAGACTGGTCCGGCTAGCCAGGGTTTTACTAGTGGATGGGAGGATTTCTGAGTTTCAGTATTCAAGTTGCCATTTCACTCAACCTTAAAGGTTATGAAGAAATTGGCCATATTTTTGTGTTTAAGAACATCATTACATTTACCTTGAACTGGAAACAGTGCAATGAAAAATGTCTATCTCATACAGATATTTCAGTCATGCAGAGGGTATTCTCAGTTGACCAACCCATCAGTCAACATGTAAGGTAGGAATGTATGTGAAATGAGTGGCATTAACCATCCATCTCATAGCTACAACCATGCAGGAAATCAAACCTGTCTAGTTCAATCTTTTGATGAGTTGTGTTGTCTGACGCCAGCGATTTTGTCTTAACTAATGGTGCAACATTATCTTTCAGCTGGGAATAATGATGGGAAATTCAGTGTTGGATTCAGGGACGGCATTGTAAGGACTGTGGTGAACCTTGACCGAGAAACCCAGGTCTCTTATATACTTATTTTAGAGGCTATAGGTGAGTACTACATTAATCAAATATGAAAGTAAAAACACGTGTAACTTTATCTCTGTCGTTTAAAACAAGTAAAGATGTCTTTGGTATTTATTTTCTAGCACCTCGCAATGTCGCAATGTCCTGACCACGTGAAAGGCACTACATAAATGCAATTTGTAGTTGTTGTTAAAAATAATACATTGTTAATACTGTTGTCTTTATGAAAAATGTTTGGTAAGTGGTTTGTTCTCGCCAGTGAGCAGTGTATTATTTTCTTCTTGATGATCACTGCCAGACTGTGCTGTGATGCATTTTATATCACGTAATTTGCAGCCAAATGGAGTACACCCATCTGCAAGGTTGATGCTCTTTAACGGATCTAATTTGAGTCAAAACAGACTTTTAATGTTTGTTACCAGGAATTGAAACCTCACTTTCGAAGCCTGTGTTTGGCCACTTTACAACAAAAGTCAAAATTATTTTGCACCCTTGCATTGATGGTTTAGTTTGGTGTCAGATGCAGAAATCAATGCAGTATTGTGTCCATTCTGTCTGGCCCTTTATGAGGTGTGTCTGGGGAAAGGGAGTGCGAATATGCAAGCACGGGTTTCTGCGTTGGACCAGCTCCAGTAGTGTAAGCTTACCCAGAGGAGAATCAATGCTCTGTTTGATTAGTCTAGTATGACCACTTTATTTTTTTTAAATAACTGGCATATGCTGGTAGTGGAAACATTACGTTAGTGAATCTGCTACCTCTCAGTAATAGCTCATTCTCGGCAGGGTGCTGCCTGCTCTGGATAGAAGACTGGGGTGAATTCTGTGCAGAATGATGAGCTGGAAATGTTATTTTTGTGACTCACATAATTCTTGGCTGAGGTTTTAAAAGCAGCCGTTCACGTAATAGGTTGGTAACACACTGTACCATTCACTGTGATGTACAGTACTATTCACAGTAAAGGCTCTCAACGGTCTGCACACATTCTCTCAGAACCCTACAATCCTGGAAAAATGTAAATCTGATACTTTCCCATAGGGGGGAGAGACAAATTGCTGAGAAAGTTGCTCTCAACCTGCAATGGTACACATGCACAGCCTGGCTCAAAAACACCATTAGAACATTGGAATTGATTATTTATCTGCCTCCCTTGCCAAGCCTGTGAGATGTAAACCAGAGGGCTTCAGGGAAAGGAATATCATTTTTCAGTGAGGTTGAGCCCTGTTGCACCATTCACAAATCTCTGGCACTAGCTGAAGTTTCTATGTAGAAAAGCAAAATGGATTACAATTACCTCAGTTGTATTTCATATGGAGGATTATATCTCGTAACTCTCACCTGTACTGTGGATTTCCACTTTGTAAACTGCCTTCAAATTACATTGTAGGATTGTGTTTGATGGGTCTCGGTCCTACAGATTTTTTAAAACTTTTTTTGTTGAACTTTGTGCTGCTGAAGGTGAGGAATACTAATTCTGGAAACTCTCTTTTTGGACATCCAGTGACAGCACTCAGTGCAGCTGCTATAGCAACGTTAGGGTACGGTTAGGAGAGGGGCAAAGCAGTATGTATTCTGTCCCAAATCTATGCCACAGCCTCAGAACGCTGCACCAGTATGACATTTTCCACACTGGGCCACTCTTGTAGCTTCTTTGAACCTCTCTGAATTATAATGCAGTTTCCTATCAATGCTAAAACACTGTGTTTTGGAACATTGTTTCAAGTTCTCAAAGTGAACTGCACTGGAATTGTTTTGATGTGGTGGTTTCACTAGAAAATCTGTTTTTGTATCTCTGTGGTATAAATTACAAAGCGCAATATAAATAATTTAATCTGCACTGTTTATATTGTCCCTCAAGTCCTGAGAATTCACACAACTGACTCTTTTAACAGAAATAACAAATAGTGATTCAGCTGAGTTAGGAGAGTTCTGTGAGTAGCTCTTAGTTCAGCCTTTGCAGATGTCTTCTCAGTCTTTACCAATGCAATTTGAGAGCAAGTGCTGCAGTATACACAGGAGCAGAAGGAATTTCTCAATTTAGTGGCAGATTTCAAGGCAGTTTTGTGCTGTAAGACTGCACCCACTAAGAATTGTGCTGACCTACAGTTTTAAATAAGTGATCTGAAAAAGTATAAAGATCGACGCTGGTGGAAGTGTGCTCGTTTGTAACATTTCTGAATAAGTTCTTGCTGGTAATCTTGTGCAGACAATGGGCCAGCAGGCAGCAGAAGGACTGGAACAGCAACTGTGTACATCAGAGTGCTTGACGTGAATGATAATCGACCCATCTTCTTGCAGAACACTTATGAGGCCAGCGTCCCAGAAAACATAACAATGTCCACCAGTATTTTGCAGGTAAGTCTTTTCATTGGGTATCTTGGACTAGGCAGAGAAAAGCCAATCATTTTGTCGACTTGAAGGCTGAAATTTGCCATTTGAAAAAAGTGTATAGTGCTGTTGGAATAATCTTTTTTTTGCAGCTTTTTCTTTTAGTTGAATTTCTTTGAGTTTTCTCGTCCCCTTTTATTGTTTTGATTTTGTGTTTCACATTCATTTGCATCATTTTGATTGTGCTGGTATTCTTATTGTTTTATTTCCCTTATTAACCATCTTGCGTGTTGCTTTATATTCAGCTTTAAATGGCCTCAGTAACCTGCTAAAGTTCCTGTTCTGCTGGAGTTTCTACAGTTTGGGTGACTTCTCTTTTCCTCCCTGTAGTGGTTGAAATTGAGTGCTGTAGTTTTCCTGTTCAAATCTCAGGTCTTGAGCAGTTGTTGGCATTGGGTTTGCTAGCTGTCCAACCATGTTAATCACTGTAGTAATCTCACAAAAATGGTGTTGATAATAGGGATACATATTGGCTCCATGCCTGTAATTGCTGAACTACAGAACAGTGCGTAACAGCCAATGTTCAATATTTTCTAAATTGCATAATTGAAAGTCATTTTCATAATGTGTCTTCAACTGGGGGACATTAGACTGGATCAAACGAGCACATTAGAGATGCTGCCTCACAAATCCTGAGGGCTTTTTTTAAACCGCACAAGACCAAGCCACTGCTCACTTGCTCTCTGCTCACAAGCCATCTGATGATGATCTGTCTGTTCGATATTTAACAGATAGATCAGTGGGGGCCAACCATTATGGTCGGCCAACAAAATAAATGTTCCATGATTGAATATTTCTTGATTTATGCCATAAATCAAAAAATATTAAATCAAAAAGAAACTGAAAACACACTACCGATCAAACCTGGACCTATCTAGACTCATGCAAATGTTTGAGGGGGAAGTGCTTTATGATGGCCTTGTGGGCCACAGGTTGACCTATCGCTGACGCAGAAGGAAACTCAGCTCTTGGCCAGAAAAAGTCACAGATGCAGAAGTTGTGAACTACATGTAGTTTTATATTGAGTTTTAGCACCGCCATGGCATTCGTGTGTTTCATTCCGCATTTAATGTGGTGTCTCTTTGCATCACCGTTTCCCTGTTGGTTAACAAACGTGGTTTGAAATAAAGGCTTTATCCTCATTATTTTGTTTAAATTGATGCTGTGTAACTTTATTTAACCACTAATCAAGGTCCAAGTAAAGTGATAGGATGACTGTAGTGTATGAATTTGGAACATGTTGTGGCTGAATCGGAACAATTTTCAAACTACTCATAAGTGCTTTCTGTTTCATTCTATGATCAATGCACAGTTTTTATTTCTCTGGTTAAAGCCCCATTGAATGGACTCACTTATTCCAGCCCTTTCCCTACTGAGACATTCCTTCTTGTTGCTGAGCTTTATTAGTAAATGGTGTCTCTGAGTATTTGACCTGCCCACTTTTGTGACAAGGATCTTCCAGTTATGTTACTATTCTTTAAAACTTGTAGAAGAATCTTGCAATTAACTAAACCTCGCTTGTCCATTCAGTCCCAATTTAAGACTTTCATCCACTGCTTCCTACATTCAGTAACAATTTATTGCTGTTAATCCATATAGACTTTGTAGAAACAGCTTTGTCTATTGGAACATTTTCTAGTTACTAAAATCATAATCTGCTGTGATGCTGTTCTCAAATATGTTTCTATTTTGACACTATCACTGCCTTTTCTTGTACCATAACTTGCAATAGATAATAACAATTTGTCGCTTAATTTTATTTTAAAAATCTATTAAAATATATTCAGTAGTTTTCTTAGAGTGCTTAAAATTCAGGAGATCAAATGGAAAACATTAATAAAGCAAACTGCCAAGCATCTACTGAAAATTATGAGCACTATTTTATTTCCATGAGACTATTTCAGAATTATGCTCTCAATCTTTCCTTCTGCAAACTTAATCCCTGAAATGACATATTTTGCTTAAACTGACAGCATGGTGTAGTATTCTGATTGAGGGATATAAAATTCATCCAGGATATTTTACTTAATTCTGCAGTGAGCCTTAACTGAGCTTGGTCGTGGTTATTTAAATATTTTCAGAACTCAATACAGAAGGAAGAATGTACCTTGAAAACAACAACAACTTGCATTTATATAGCGCCCTTCACGCCGGACGGCATCTCGGAGCGCTGTTTGTGCATTCATATCTGTGGATAAAGATTTTTTTTCTTTGCAACCATTTTTACTTAAAAAGACTACTATTGTGGTATATTTCCAATGTATTATCTGTTCAGGCATAGGGGAGGACAATTAAGAGTATATAGCGTTAATAGTTTGGGTTCTGAAATTAATTTAATAGCGTGGAGCTTTGCTCAATGTCCTTATGGAGTCTGGGAGAAATATTACAATTATTTTATTTTACTTGCAGTTGGTTGTCTGCTGGAAGGCAGTGAGTGGTGTGTCAGTTCCTAACATGCCAAATATACACAATTGTAGGTTGTGGGCTATTTGAGCTGAATTTTAACAATGATGTACAGCTACATTAAATGGTAAAGTGAAATAGCATAAAAGAGAATCAGGAAAAGAGTAGAGAATTGCCATTAGAGTACATTTTTCCACTAGTGGAGAATGGAATTAGCTTCAAGGTATATGGATATGGATCCACCAACACTAGCTTGTTGGGACAAATGTCTTCCTTCTATGCTTTAATATCCAAGATTCCTGTGAATTCTGTTGGTTGATGAATTATGACGGAATTAACCATCTAGCATATTAATAGTATATTTATTCATTGATTTGAAGGTGCCCATTTTATATGCAGTCAACAAACATGAATCTTAATCCAGTTACTTTTTTATTTACCTTGATTGTGTATCGCGTGCTATTTGTACAAAAAATAATGTAGCTAATTCACTGCTTTGTCCAGGATGCTTGAGTTTTCTTCCGATTGCTATTTGTGGTCACTTCCAATCTTAGTTCCAATCTCAAGCATTATGTGACCGTTTTATCAGACCTTATTCATGTACTAAATTCAGCCCATGGTCTTGCAAGTCACTGCTCTTGAAAATTTATTGTGGTGTTAGTCCTAACCTCTTGGAACCTTAGAATTCAGACTATAGTAGGCAGTACTGTAAATCTGATGTGTCTGGGCTAAGCAGTGCAAATAGTGCTCTAAGATTACAATGAATAATCTATGGTGATTAATAACATTCAAGCAGATGCTTGCTGCGTCCATTAGATTTACTGTTTTCTCTGCACCTCTGTTGATATCTTGGCTTGGGTTTGAAGTGCTCCTTTGCAAGGCTGAACCTCTGAATATCATAACTGTACGTCCAGCCCACAGGAATCCTACATTTTCCTTTTGGTATTGTGGGCCGCAGATGCTCAACCTATGAAGAACACATCTCAGAACTGGAGTCTTTACTAAATAATGGGGAAATCCTGGTCAGTAGTTAATTTTTTTTCTAGTTTTGCTTTTCTTGTAGTACTTTAGGGTACTATAGGGTCGCTGTGAAAATATTTGTGTGCCCTGATGGTGGTAGTCCCACCATCTTCACATTTTTGTTAATTCTACAAAGCCCAAATCATTGATGTCCCTCCGATACCGATCAGTAAGGCCTCGATGCTGTTGAGAGATTGATCGATCCCATCTGAAGCCATTTATTGATTGTCTCAAAGAGCTGAAACGCTTCCACAATGTTAACTGAGGCTCACTGGAGTCCTCAATGTGGTATGGCATACACTCATGGGGTCCGTGGCGGGAAGCATCTAAGCCTGCAGGATTACACAAGGCTATAAAAATAATGCATGTTGCCAAGAGAAGAAATATACACATTAATGCTATGATGATTGGCAGAGGGTCTCCCTTTTCGATGGAAGTGTCAGACTTCTGAAGTGTCTCGGTGGTTGCCAGCAGAAGGTTAAGAATACTGAAAGTCCCATTCCTGGTTTCTGAATTCATTTCTCCTGTTTTGTTTGTAAGGGGAGAGGAAAAGAAACACATTGACGACTTTCATTTTAAATCATTGTCCCAACCTACAATGTAGCACTCACAATTGCTTGAACATAAATCATTTTAACATTTATGAGCAGTCATCTGCGGATATGTAAAACAAACCTGTTCCAGTGTTAGCCTACACCTTTAGATCCCTTTGCAACTACCCCTCCTAATGCTTCCTGTTTAAAACACATTTCCAAACCCATCCAATATTCTTTCATTCAAAGTGTTATATATTAATTTAAACTTTAGTTGCCACAGTTCTGCCCGTTCGAATAAAACCATCATGTCCTTTTCCAAATTTTGGTTGTCCTTTTCACAATGTATAACTCCTCCCACCTTAGTATCATCAACAAATTTAGAAATACTCTTTCCATTCCACCCCGCTCCCAAAATCCGTTTTATTTATGTAGAGGATGAAAAGAATGATCCTTGATCTTTGCCTGGCTACAAGTGAACTGCCCATTTTATTTCTAATTCCTATCCCCCCAACCAATTCTGTACAATTGTCACAATATTGCACGTTCATCTTTTAAATACATAAAACCTGTTTACATTGGCTTAATTCATTCATGACAAATAGCATAACATTGAGAAGGTTATTCTGATACGGTTTAAAATTAATATGTGACTCCGAGAAGCAAAAAGAGCTGTAAGTAAATATTGAACTTCAGAAGAAATATTAATTATCGGTTCATTATAATAGAATTGGAATCAATGTTAATTAGGTTTTGTTAATACAATATAAACTTCTGCCCATGATATTCTATGCAAGTCACCTGATCATCGTAATAATATGTCAGTAACATTTCTATAAGAATACAGTGAAGTTCATTTTTGTGCTTTGCACTGCTATTTGAAACTGCTAACCTCCAGAGTTTCCCCAGTAAGACACGTATTATGTGAGAAGAATTAATTTCTTGAAATAACATCAGAGAAGTCTGAAAATATGAGGATATCCTAATTGGAGGTAGAATCCTTAAATAATT